TTCCCCCCCCCCCCCCCCCCCCTCCTTACAGACCTCACCCCCCAATTCTATTCATTCATGTCCCCCACCCCCTCTCTTCCCCCCAATTGAAAGCAGCAATATGATTGTAACTTCAGCATTCATTGCATTCTATCTACCCAATCTTTTATTCCAAACCCCAATGACCACAATTCATGGGCTTATTAACATTGAAACATCTGAGGCATTTGCAAACCTCCCTTCACTTAGATAATGTGGCTGGAATAGCAAACGTTGGTTTGTGGTATTAATCATGATCTATTATTGCCAATTTTATAACATGTTCCAAAACTTAAGAACATCGGTTAATGTCTTCGCTCACATATACGGCAGCCGTTCCATAAATCGTTGGAAGTAATGTTATTTCCTCGGTTGATGATCCTATAGGAGGTTCCATAAAGTTAGCCTCTAAGGCCCTTCTTTTTTTGAAATAAAACGAACACAAAGTACTTTGTGAATACGTGAAGGCTAGAAGGATTAGATAATGCAATAATTCCAAATTCTGTATTGTTTTAGCAATGCCTTTGAATCCCAAGTTTGTCAAACGCACTGGAATGGCGATAGGTACTACGAGTGTCGATGTACCCCATCAAGATCTGGCACATTTGCTGTTGGATTGGTCTACATTTTGAGCAGTAAGGACTTGAAGGTACGTTTCCTTCCGTTTCATATTTGATCTTGCCCTGTATTCAGTTGTGTAAACTTTGATTTGTGTCAATCTGCGAGCACTGTCTCGTTTTATGTTTCCAAACAGCAGCGTCTCTTCTTGAGATTCTTTCAGTGAGATCTCGTACGACAGATTTCGTATCAGCGCGTTGATGCGTTTATAATTCGATTACTGCAGCATATTTGGGTTTCAAAACTAGACTACACATTAATATAATGTGTTAATTGCGCTTGACATTGGAAAAAAACATCAGTCAATCACAGAGTATCATAAGTCCAGACACTTGAGTCGAGATGTGTTTATATTAAGAAAATGCTGTTTTATTGATTTTTAGTCAACATTGTACTAAAAAAAATATGAGACAGGAAATTTGATTTTGCCGCTGCTTTTATTTTATTTCTTTTTGATAATTGTAGTTTAATCAATTAAAAACTAATTTTTTTGTTTTTTTTTGAAGAAATTTAATAAGATTTCTGTTTTCTTTGGGACGGTTTGATTCTAGCACTTTGGCATTTTTATTGTCACACAAATTGTAAGATCAAATGAAATATGTCATGTGGCGTTCCAATGGCCGAGAAATTGGGGGGGTAGGGGGTAGGGGGTAG